TACCCCCCTCAGCTGCCGACATCCCCAGATAAATCACTGTCCTTCACATGTGATGGCTGTTTAACTTCCTAAAGGAAATGAGTTTGATACATCTCTGTCCATTTCCTGGTGAACATGTGTCCATACTGCAAACGTCAGCATTACAACTGGCGCCTCTGCCAGCAGTCCTAAGAAAAGCTGAGGTGTATCATCTGAGCTGCAACAACTCCTCTCACTCTTGTAGAAACTCCAGTGAGTAGCACCAGCATTGGCCATGAGTGTGCTCACAGGAGAGTACTGCCTCTTCTGCAGATGAAAAATGGCTTTCCATTGTGGAAGCTGTCAATTTGACAAGTTTTGCTAGGGCTAAAATACCCTTTAGTGATGGGAAAGTCCTTTGCAAATGTCTTTCACAAATGTCAGCTGCCCCATGATCACTGGTATTTCCTGTGATGTTAGTTTATGCATTCTGTTTCCACTTTGCTGGCCCAGTCTTTTAGAAGTGACCTGAAAAATTCCTTTTGCTGCTTCCTCCATTGCAAAAGAGATAATTGACAGCTGAAATTCTTGAAAATCTGTCAACTGTCAGATATATTGCATGGTCACAATTCAGCCCTGTGCTGGTCAAGGCTTGTAGGTGTTTCCATATGTTTGATATGTGGTTCTTGATTACGAACTAAACTTAGTATCATGCTAAACAAGTGTGGTATTTCACCAGGGCAGTAACATATGGAGGTATTTCAGGCTTATTTCAAAGAGCAAGCTGAGATAGGTACATTAATTGTGTTAGCTGAAATCCAGGGTAAATTAGCCTTGACAGACCATCATGTTGACATGGATATGCTCCTTCTGGTATCTGACAGCTTTCTTAATTAGCTGATTCTGTAGGCAGCACTGATTTGTATCAGGCAGATACATTGTACGATCTAATCGAGTCTAACTAAGCCCAGGAGTATCTTAATGCCAGTCAATGGAGCACAGGAAAACAGACCATTATCTGTCATAGCAGTAAACTGTAGTCAAAGACTGCCAGGTCATGAAGCTGTATCAAATATGGTTCTTAGTCTGTAGTTTATCTGGGCGTGTAACTGAGGATTTAGGATACAGTGGCTAATTTAGACAAGAGACTCCTAATTTTTAGACATATTCCAGTGATGACTCATTGCTGATATGCAGCCCATTCTAGTGTTCTGACCAGTTAAAACCACAGCTGAATGCTATGTACAAGCCTTAGTTTTAGCAGCCTCACCTGCTAAATGGAAGATTTGAAAAGACTTTAGCAATATTGCAAAGGTACAGACATCCCTTCTTCCTGCTTTATATATTCATCCAATACCATCCATTTTTATGACACACAGGCTTAGCTAGATTAATCTTATTTACCGTCTTCATAGATAAATTCATGCCACATGCCAGTGCCCACTGACTGCGTGTCCTTTAAGGCCAGGTAGGCAGTTAATAGTATTAGAGTTTGATAATGAACTGCCTGATTTTTGCAAAGTATCAAAAGAGAGATGCAGCTTCATTGCCTGCTTCCTAGTTAACCTTCTAAATCCTCTATTGCAAAGCCATTAATCCGTTATCACAGAATATAAACCTCCAGATAATCCTAGCAACAGTCTTAAAGTATCAAAGCATGCTTTGGATTATCTATGTCATGGTACTAATGCATGTGCCTTTGGAGCAGATACTGTACTTTGTCCCTGCTTCCAGTTTATTAGTTCCCAGGGCAAGAACATCAGCAGAGGCCAATGTATAAATACCGTATGGAGTTAGCAGGCCCTTTTGAAGGCGAACTGAGATATCAGAGGTAACAGGACTGTAGCAGGCCACAGCAGATGTGAAGGCAGGTGATGAGGTTTTATAAAACCTGTAAGGCTGGAAGAAGACTTTCTGGGTGTAAAATCCCTGGGCTCAGTTCCCTCTGAAACCTAATTCTGTAATACCACTTTTAGAGAAATAAAATGGTGAGGAGTGGTGAGGGAAGGCTTGCCTGCTTGTCTAAAGAACAGTCACGATGTGGTCTCCTAAACGTTGTTTCTCTCCCCTAGGAAAACTTGCAGAAGCTGGTACACATTGAGCACAGTGTGAGAGGGCAGAGCGGCCTCCTCCAGCCAGGAAGGGTGAGTGCTGCAGGCAGACCTATGCTGATAAGGGCATTGTTTCCGGCCAGCTATATCTCTGATTGTGTGGATGGCCAGATTTCAGACGTCTACAGGTGTTGTTTACTGAGCTGCTGTGATAAGAGTTGGAGCACTGGTTTGTGTAAAAAGCCATTACTTTGGCAGTGCGCAAAGAGATGCACTGAGAGCCTCAGGCTGGGAAAGACGTGCATTGCCCCTGCTTTTACACAGAGCAGCCATTTGACTTTTCACTCCAGTTGTCCTCAGCCACACCATGTGTAGTGTGTTTTGATGGAGCTGCTGTTTTCCTCCCTATATACTCCTGTTGAAAGGTTGCAACACTACCAGGAATCGCTTGCAGCCTGGAAAGCCTCAGTTTTATTTGGCTGGGTAAAAGCCTTAAATCAGAGGAAATTATTTGTTTTCAAATTTTTATTCTCACCATTCTCCAGTGGTGCTTTTAATGCAAGACATCGTTTGTAAGCAACACATGAACAGAAATGTGGGATAGTGTACAGCTCTGTCTTGCCATCCACACCAAATGCAAATTTCTTCTCCTGGCTTTCAAACCTGTCCAGTTTCCTCAGCTCCAACCTGCCTCTACACTTCAAAAGATTTCTTTCTTGAGTCCTGCAACTCTAAATTTCCTTTCAGTCCACCAGTATCTTTAGCAAAAATCATGAAACAATTTTCAAGGCATACATACTCATAGCATAAGAATCCTCATCAGCCAAATACTGCAGTCAATATCTATTTTTTCTCTAACATCAATATTCTCACTTGCCCTTGCCAGGTAATGCTTTAACAAATTCTGCAAAGCCCAGCATACAGAATTTGCAGGATTGGTCTCTTTGATTATAAATTTTTCTGTAGTGGAAAACTACACCAGATTCTGTTTCCCATCTGAAAAGAGTAGATGACTGTTAATCCACTGATGTAGTTCAGTTATTGTAGACCTTTTCAAATGTTTTACCAATCAAGTTCTAGTATGCTGGTTTACCTGCTTACATATAGTCCTATCTATATACACAGTAACAACATGGACTGACAAAGCACTGTGTTTCCAAACATATACAGATTATGTATGTGGGCATAGGTATGTGGATGTGGCATGCTGAAACTCGAGGTTTCAGCTTTTCTTTTTGGTCTATCTTAGATGATTTTTAAAGAGAAAAGTTCTTTTCTGAAGCCCATTACATGTTAGCTTTGCAATCTGTGACAGTCACCTCTGAGCACAGTTCACCATGCAGAAGCAGTGGGCTGAGGGTATGTGGGTTTCCAACCCATTCGATACTGATACAAATGCAAGCCATGAAGAGCAGCAGGGCTAACCCAGGCAAAGACTAAGCCAGATCATAAGGAGTAAGGCTAGAAGGAAGTGTTGGGGTATCTATCTCTTCCTGTGCTGATGAAAGCAGTTAGAGTAGCTCTTTCCCCAGGAGGAATGTTCTCTTTTCTCAATAAGATTCAGAATGAGAAGTCTCAGGATTACAATCTGCTGTTTTCTCCTTCAGATCTTTGTTAAAGAGGGAACGCTCATGAAAGTCTCTGGCAAAAACAGGCACCCTCGGCATTTGTTCTTGGTAAGATTTCTTTTATATTTTTACTGGCTTTCTCGTATCTTCTCCTGAACTTTTGCAGCCCTGAATCCTGGCAGAAACTTTCAGGCTGCAAGTCATTTAACCATCAGCAGTGATGTCATGAATCAGTTTCTGTTGCTAACTGGGCTGTAGTTCTTTTCACCCATGTCCCATTGGCCCTGCATACAGAAATACAGGCTGTACGGCTCTCCATTTGTGCCACAGCTACATACAGCCTTGACTAGGCGATAATTTTCCAAAGCAGTGCAAGTTTCCAGGGTGATCAGGAGGATGGGAGCTCCTGAATACTTTCAGCAATTAAGCTTCACACTTGAAAGTCCAACCCTAAGGTCTTAGGAGATCCGCTTAGAAGCAACAGAGAACACGCTACTGCTAAAGTTTATGAAAGTTTTCTTTGGACTCAATTGGGAAAGATATATATCCTTGAAGCTGAAGGACTGGGGTTTAGTTCCTGCTGTCCACATCTATGTAAATTACCTGATAACTGTGTGCATTGCCTCGGTATAGTCCCTCTGAACACACACCTCCAGCTTCCTGTTGATTAAAGCAACAGTTTTCAATGATGATTTGCAAAATTCTTCTAAGATAGTTAAGAAAAATTAATTTTTCATTGCTTGGCTGGAATACCCTTCATAAGGGTCCGCAATCCTACTGCAAAAATTGCAAGTATTTGCAAATCAAAGCAGATGAAAAACCACATTTTTGGAGACATCCTATTAACATTCATGCTTTCTGTTTTGCGTTACACACTACACTGAGCAGTTAGAGAGTATCTGAGACTCCAGGCTCCTGAGCTCTGTCCTCAACTTTTCAGGTAGCTCATTGTGTAACCACAGGCATTTTTATGCATTTATCAGTATGAAGGGGAAAATAATACTTGCCTGTGTCTTAGGAGTTTGTTAACCTGCTTACTTGATAATGTTTGGAAAATTCTTTAGAGCTCCTTCCCAGAAAACAACCATAAAGAACCGAGCATTACTGCTGCTATTAACATTAAAGTACTGTTTGCAGAATTTATTTTAAAATAAATGGCTTACATGCCTGGAATACATATTTGCTGTGGCCTCTGTAAGCGCTGACAGCTTTTCATCCCGGGACCATTGTGAGGAGGAGAGATGGCTTATTACAGAAGTCATACATTTTGTCATTAATTCTTCTTATTTCTCCCTCTTATTAATATTTCCTATTTGTGCATGAGTGGATGCACAAGCTTCTTTGCCTCCTCGATCATGTGCTGCAGTCAGAATGAAAGATCAGAGGGGATGGGACACAGTGCTGGCACTGTACTTTTCTGATGGCTTCACTGGTTTCTGTGAAAATACAGACTTTCATGTACTGAATGTGATGGATTCCACCTAAATCTTCAAATAAGACATTGCTGCAGCGCTGTTTTACTGAGTCAGCATCAATGAACTGTAACAACAGCAATAAATGTCAAAATCATGACTTCGTTGCAGCCAAGGGAAAATGACCATGCCAGAATCTCCAGGAGCTGGTCTTAAGAAACAGTGTTCTCAGCAGTAGTAACTCTGAAGCCTACTGATGACCACTTCATAACAGATGATGCTTGCATCTGAAACACTCACCTTTGCTAATACTACAAAAACATTTTGGAGTTGTGGCTAACGCTGGGACCAAACTCCAGGAAGTTGTTACCATTTTGTATTCCAGTGTGTTTGTAACTGCCATCATAATCCACTACCATGGCAAATACTGAAGTGTCACAAACCTAGCTATTATAACTGATATAGAGAATTTAAAAGGAAGATCGGAAATCCGGTTAGTAATAAACATTGAGAGGAAAGCAATTTAAACTTGGGATAAACTCAGATAAATTTCAAGCAGTCCAGAATCGTATCAGCTTGAAGGTTACAAGAGGCTGAAAGTATTACTGGAACAAAGCAAGCACAGAAATTAGTTTCTGGCACTTTCTAGTTTAGGAACTTATTTTTGATTCATGGGGAGACTTCAGCTGCTCAAACTCGGATGTTAATGGTAAAAAGAGAAGTGTCTCTTGGCAGCTGGAGACATTACAGTAGCCAATGTCCTGTTGTTAATAGATGTTCTCAGTATTCAGAAACAGCGTTTTTTAATTCCTTTCCGTTAGAAAGGCAACCTGTGACCAAATGTGCTGTCATGCAAAGTATGTGGTGGAGCTAGACTAAACCATAGTGGTCACTTTCAAGAACCAAGAGACACACACATAAAACTGGCTTCTTTCCTGCTCTAACACACTGAAGTTGCAACCACTTCAGGCTTCCTGCATTATGTCTCCTGTTGGGGCAGGGTGGGGGCAACTGGATCTTGGAAGCAGTTTGAAACATATTGGCAAATATCTGCTTTTCAGTTCAGTGATTTTTTTTTTACTCTGTCTCCTCTACTCTGAAAGCTCCTCAGGTTGCAGAGCAATGCCATGTATAGTGAAATTGCAGGGATGCGAGTTGCTGCAGAATATGGTAATTCCTGCATTAATACCTCAATGGTTTTGCATTATCTGCTTGCCACTGCTAATGCTGTGGATTCTCTGTTGTGCCACCACCACTCATGCCACCACCAGTCATGCATTGTTTAATGGACTGTTTAGCCTGTGGATGCATTAAGACAACTATGGCATAGCTAGGACAACATATTTTCATCTTGGCATATAGCATCTTTACTGCATCAGTCTTAAGGCCCTACCAACCATCACTGCCAACACCTTTTTGTAGCAGCCACAGCCTGTATGCACATATCCTTCCCTGTGCCAGTGCATCTAGCCCAGCCCATGTGCTGTCTTGATTCTCATGCCTGGGGACACTATGTGGTAAAAAAAAATACAAACCCAAACCCACAAAACCCCAAGACCAAAATAATCTCCTAAACTCTGTCTCTTAAAACCCACATTTATTTAAAGCCCTTATCTTCTAAGGACCATATCATAATGCTTTGAAGCCACTGGCAAAACTCAGGTAGGGTAAGAATTTGTCCTAATATATTAATAAAAAAAAAACTTTCAGAACTGTTTTTTTTTTTTGATGCTTCACATGTCAGCTAGCACTCAAAAAGATCACGAGAAGCTAACATGTATAGGTGTAGTTTGGTTTAGCCTTGGATGAAGTAAGTGTATTTACTGTAGCTACCAAAACCAGGTTTTTACATGAACAGCATTTTCTGAAGTTCTTAGTATTGAACTTACTCTGACTGAAGCTAAGTCAAGCCCAGGACCTGGAGAGAATTTCACTGAAAGAACATACACTGAAGGATAACCCTGAGAATTCAACCCCTACACATCCCAGGAGATGAGCCCACCAAACTGAAGTTGTAGTTAGAATATGTTATAAAAATTGAGTGCATGCCAGACTCCTGCTTGGCCTGCACATTCAGAGTGTGCTTTGGTGGTGCGTGTGCTTGTGCTCTGAATATATGCCCATAAGGAGCATTGTATGTCTGTGCACAGCCCATATAGGCATGAGGACACACATATGCTCTTGATGTGCATATGTTTCTGCGGGTGTATGTTGTGTGTATCACAAGGTTACTTGAACTGGCTGTTTTGTGCAGGCTAATGGCATTGTTGAATCTGGTGTTTCCTGGCAGGATGTTTGGTGAGTTTTGCTGTGCGCCTGTTTCCTGAGTCCAGTCTCTGTTTACAAGGATGTCGGGGCCTCTTTGCAGCGCAGTATGAGCTGCTGACACTGGCAGGCCCCCTAACTGCCCCCCAACCACAGGACTTTGCAACTCAGACACTGTCTCTTATCTCACCCTTCCAAGAATTTCTCTACAAAGGCTGCTTGTGTTGCAAGTGGGGTGCGGGAAGCTGCTATCAAATGGGAGACTGTTTAACACGCTAGCTGGCAGAGCTGGAGTATAGGAGGTTTTGGAGTCAGAGCTTGAAAAATGCAGCCCCAGCGCACTTTCAGGCGGCTCCACTGACACTCAGGGGATGTTTAACGCAGACTTGAATAGAACAACACAGGGTTCATAATGAACTACCCTTTAAAACATTCAGAAAAACAAAACACGTGGTAGGAGCTTTTAGACAGAGAGTGCATTACATATGGATGCCGGCTGTTCAGCAAAAAAAAGATAAACTTGTTTGGGTCAATAAATTTGGACACTGTAGGTTAGAAAACTTGCATTGACCTCTGATGTTACTGTGTTCCCATCACAACAGAGGGGAATATGAAAAGAAGAGGGGAAAAAGAAAAGTAGAAACAGAAAAAAAGAAAATTAAAGAGCAGATGTATCCTTCTTTCTCTGCGTTATCAGCTGTTGTTTTGGGGGCTCTATGTGTGCATGGAGCACTGCAGAATACGAATATTTGCTCCCATATCAATATCTGAGCAGTTTGGGGATCCCAATTGTTCAAAAGTTTTCTGGCAAACAGGAAGTGCACCTGAAGCTCAAGGACTTCTGGAACTCCCCTGGGAGTTGTGGCAGTCGATCTCTTCTACCACAGATTCCTGAGGGGCTGCAAGATCAGCTTTTATCGTGGTCCAGTCCTTACTGCTTCAGGGAACAGTATGCAGTGTGAAGCAGGAGGATGCATGAAAACACGGGTACTGATGCTAGTTCTGTCCATATCATTCATATAGCCACCACGCAGGTCTCCAGTGTAGAAGAGGCAAAGGAGACAGCAGCGAGTACAAACCCTTTCTTTTTTCATGAATATGTGTGCCTTGCTTAGCAAGTTTTGAAATATTTGTCATAATTTCATTGTGCCAGGCTGTGCCTGGTGGGACCTGAGAGTCACAGCCCACTGCTATACACTGTAGGGAAGAAAAACAGGAGGAAAAAAAACTCCCATGGGCAATTATAAAGCAAAGTCATCTTTAATGTGTAATAAAATCTTAGGATGTTAATCAGAGCTGTCATGACAACGATATGCACCAGGGTGTCATCCTTAATCAACAATAATAAAAGAATGAGCTGCTTTTCAAGGAACTATATAACTTTTTAAATAAATAAAATAAATGGAGTTTGCTATTCAAGAAATGCAATAACACATTATGCCAGAATCCTGAAAATCTCTTTTAGGAGTTCACTTCCCTGGGCTTAGTGCCTGTAACTAGTTACACCTTTTCTTGTGGTTTGAAACAAGCCTTAAGTGCTGGCACTGATGAGTGGCAGAGGAAGTTCTGTTTTCTCGTATAATCCTTTGAACAGTCAGGAGATAGCAGACTCACCAGGCAAATACGAGATTTCACTAGTATTCTGTTATTTCACAGAGTATTCTCTTAACGTTAGCAATAAAGTCTGCCTGCCTTTTTACCTTTTTCCCACCTGGCTGCTGGAGTCTTAGTTGCTACTAGTAGTATCAAGTGAAAATAGCTTTCATTTGCTTTTCACTGAAAGGTTTACATGTGCTCAGTTTTTTCTACCTTAGCCTCTTAGGTGCTCAGTGTGCAGTAGGTTGTGATAAATTTTCCGGTTATGCATAGCCCTGGTTAAACTGGGAATCATCATGTGGTCAGTACTGTGCAGGGGTCACTATGCTGATTGGATTAATGTTAGCATGGAGGGTAATTTATGGAGCAGTAAGTAAATCACACAAAAACTCTGTGACAAGCCATTTGTCACCTTGTTCTAAGGAAATTCTGTTGTGTTGTTGCAAAAGAGTAAATACTGCACTTCAGACTACAGAGAACATGAGACTCCTATTCTGACTTGATAGTATGCTTTTATATCCTCAGCTAAGAACTGTTATATTAAAAAAGCTTTAAACTCTGCATGAGTTAAGACTTACTAGAAGGACACAGAAAAATACACAATGGAGGGGCCGATGCAGGACAGCATAGGAGTCTTTTTGTTAAAATGTTAGAATGAAATGTTTCAGCATTTTCTACAAAAATATTGGCTGATCCTACTCAGTAAACTCAATTCAATTTTTAAAAGTAGTAAAATTTAATGTAAAAGTTTTGGGGAAAGTCACTCTTCACTATATTTTGCCTCACATTAATGGGAATCTGCATTTTAAAGATGGGCAGCTGATGCACATAAGTCTGATTTGCTGTGCTGATTTACTTAATACATTGGTGTCCATGAGTGAACTCATGACCCTAATAAAGGCAACGACAGTTGCCTTGTTAAGTCCAAGATGATAAGGATTTAATCCCGTGAGTATTAATTCCATGTAATTTTTCTTTAACCGTTGTTTCTGCTCTGTAAGAAAGCTGAACTATGACATTTTAAGAAAACATCCACAAGGCTCTGCTTTCCATTTTTTTTCAGGCAAGCAAATTAGTGAAAATTTTACACCAGCAGTTTTAGGTGGTCAGGCAGTACTATCAAGACCCCAACAATTCCTGTCATATAGGATACATTACTTTATTGCCAAAACATTCTTTAGTTTCCTCCCTTCTTCTCTGCATCTCTCTATCACAGTTTTCCTTCCAAAATACACTATTACCATCCAATTGGCTATATTTAAATGTCTTCGTCACAGAGGAATCTAAGTGAAGCTGGTTTCTGTCTACTTTTTAATTTCTTGAGAATTTCTGCATTTAAGATGCCTTGTCTCTGGCATCACACACTATTACCTATGCCTTGGTTTTACATTGCCTTGCACATCTTTGTTCATAGTATCCCAGTACAGTAATCAAGGGGCTGACTGAGTTTATGGATATTGGTACTGATGTGAGAGGCCTGGGAAAGACAGTAAGAGAACATGACCTGCTCATTTACATAAAGCAGAGAATGCATATATACAAACATTACTTTGGCAATGTTACGGCTCACTGATACTGCTATTCCTTCTAGTAGTAAGGGAAGGAGAGGTCAGCAAAGACCTACAAGGCCCATTTCTGCTGTTTCATTTATTTGTTGGCACAAAGGTAAAAGGCTGCAATAATGGCTACAATTAAGTTAGGCAAACAGCTGAGAAGATCTGATCCCATTTAGTATGAAGCTGTTTGAAAAACAAGCATTCTGCAAGGAGCTGTGACAACTATGGAAATATTTGGGGTGTTAAAGTACAGAATTTTTTTCCTCATAAAATTATTAACGTTACTTATTTTTGCCTTTTCATGGTCTGTGCTGTGGCCCACAGACTCAGGAAAGCTGTCAGATGTCTAGCCGAGTTTTGCTAGCAGTGAAATATAGTTACCACTCTCAAATATCCAGACCATTCGTCCCTGAATCATTCCTCCAGATCATAGCACCTCTCCTCATCTCCACTTCCTTTTTGCCCAGAAAATGGATGTCTGTCAAGCCCAGCCCTACTCCTGGCCTCACCACAGCGTCAGGGGGACCCTGAGAGAGTCAGAGCTGCAGCATCCTGGGCGGTTAGTTGGTATTGTCAGGTAGTAAATGCAGAGCCTGCCTTCCCAACTTGAACATGGCAATGCCCTTAAAACAAGCAGCTGTTTCACCCAAGCTGAATAAAAAAGAGCTGATTATCTACTTGCTTAGCCATTAGCAACAGTCAAAAGTGCGAAGAAATCAAAGTCCCAGATGCAGACTCCCCAGAGTTTTGTGGAAATGCAGGTCTTGATCTAAGCTGTGTGGCTTGGGCCTGTCTTTATTAACAGTCCTAGCCGTTCATCAAGTTACTGCTTGTTCTGGGTATCCCCCGCAGGAGTAACGGGCAGGCCTGCAAGCCATATTGCAAATTATTGATTTTGTCTTTCTCTTCATACAGATGAATGATGTTCTGCTGTACACATATCCCCAGAAGGATGGCAAATACCGACTGAAAAACACCTTAGCTGTGTCAGGCATGAAGGTAATGCCTTATCTGTATTATAGGCTGGAATTAATGTTCTATAGTGGGCTCTCAGTGCTTTGCTGGTTTATGTCTCATATCCAGCAAGGGGAAAGAGGGGATGGACCTGTTATCAGGCAATTCCCTTGCCTCTTACAGGAGACAGAAGGAAAAAGGCTGTGACATAGTACAACAGCCTTATTCAGGCTGCATAAATAATACAAGCCAAAATCAGATTTACCATCTGATCATGAAACTGGAGACAGAAAAGATTTATTATCCCATTTTGTCCATTCCTCTCTTCATGTCTCCAGCTAATGCGTGGTTGTTCCCTACAACATACTCACTAGGGCTTAGTCTGCCTGTTTTAAACTCCTGCCACTAAAAATTTACATGAGCTTTCATTTGCCTGGTTTTCATGTGCCCTTTAACTGTTTTCATCAAAAGCATTAATGGGTTCAAAAAGCAATTTGCCAGCTTTATGGGGAAAAGGTATATTGGGAGCTATTACATGCAATGATATAAACAGTCTCTTCTTCAGTAAATGTCTAAATTGCAGGTTACAGAAACTGGACACAATTGTCCTGTTCTTACACTCTTT